TTATCCTTTAAGCAGTCACTTCCTATCCCCTTCCCCTAATCCTTAGCAACCACTAATCTATTTTTTTGTTTTTATAAATATGCAATCTCTGAAATTTTCATGTAAACAATGCTGTCAAGATTTGCAAAGTGTATATCTTAAATGTGGCCTGGAACATATAGATGTAGGATTAATATGTGCTAACCTGAAAGGGATTCACTGGAAGACAGGTCCTGTGCTGAGCATTTCAGACACTCACACTTATTTAATCCTAATAACTGCCACATCAGGAGGATTATCCCCATGGTTAATTGAAGAAACTTGCCAGAAGGTTCCTAAACCCTTTAGAGCTACACGTTTTCCATGTAGGAAGTAAGGTATTGCACACTACTTTTATTTCATTGTTTAAATTAACATACAAAGTAATGGGCTTCACTATGGCATTTTCATCCATATACTGTTATACTTCACTCATGTTCACCCTCCCTATTGCCCATTACCATCTCCTAGTCTTCCTTCTGCTTCCTTCTTGCCTTTAGGTGATGTGGGAGTCCCCTCTGTATGCTGTGAATGATGGGGAACTTCAGCCAATCACATTCCGTTTAGGGTGTGTCCCCCTGGGGCCACACAAAACAAATAAAAACATCCAGGTGCACTTGCCTCTTCCTCTTTGCCCTCTGTGTTCCTGGATAGCTGGAACCCTGATTTGTAAGTTTTCTTTCTTCTGTTTATTAAAGCTGAATATTATTTTAAGTTGGTCTGGTTAATTACAATATTCCGATCGACCATGCCTATCATGTGAATACCATTGGTGAATAAAGAAACTGCCTTGGCCTGTTGATAGGGCAGAATTTAGGTAGATGGGGAAAACTAAACTGAATGCTGGGAGGAAGGAGGCAGAGTCAGGGAGAAGCCATGTAATCCTGACAGAGACAGGTGCTGGAAAATTTACCCAGTAAGCCACAGCCACATGGCAATACACAGATTACTAGAAATGGGTTAAATTAAGATGTAAGAGTTAGCCAATAAAAAGCTAGAGCTAATGGGTCAAGCAGTGATTTAAATAATATAGTATCTGTGTGATTATTTGGGGGCTGAGCGTCGTCCTTCAACATTTAGGTCATATATGTATATGTATATGTATATATGTCATATCTGAGAAAAAAAGTTATCTTTTCCCCATTACCTTCTCTTTTTCTTGCCACATTACTACTCCCCTACCTCTCCCCAACAGTCTTGGTTTATCTTCATGTCGCATAAATGTAAATATATGCATGCATACATATATAGACTCAGCATCTGAGAGAAAACCTCTGGGTATTTGTCTTTCTGAGTTATTGTGCTTAACATGATGACCTCGAGTTCTACCCACTTTCCAGCAAGAAATATATTTTTTTCTTGTTCAAAGATGAATAAAACTCCATTATGGGGTGGGTAAGATGGTTCAGTGGGTAGAAGTACCTGCCATCAAGCCTGTTGACCTGAGTTTGATCTCTTTGACCTACATGATGGGAAAAGAGGATCAACTAAAGGAAGCTGTCCTCTGACCACCACATGTGCCCCGTGGCATGTATGTGCCCCCAATAATAATTATTATTATGTAATAAAATTGTTTTAAATTATTTCAAAACTCCATTGTGTAAACGTACCACATATTCATTAGCCATTTGTCAGTTGATGGGCATCTAGACTGGTTCCATATCATGGCTATTGGGAACAGTATAGTAACAAAGATGGTATGCAGGTATCTGTGTAGTCTGTTAACTTAAGGGCTTTTGGTTACATACACAAGCATGGTAGAGCTAAATCATATGTGAGTTCTATTTGCAGATTTTGAGGAGTCTCATACTGCTGTCCACAATGGGTGCACCTGTGCACAGTCTCATCAATGGTGACTAAGGCCCTCCCACACCATCATCAGCACCATTCTAACCTCAAGCAATTTTAATTTGCATTTCCCTGAAGACTAAGGATGTCAAATACTTCCTCAAATATTTCTTAGCCATTTGTATTTCTTTCTTTCAGAGCTGTCTATTTACTGGTTGGATGGTCCTTACTGTCCTGGAACTAGCTCTGTAGACCAGACTGGCCTCGAACTCACAAGATCTGCCTGCCTCTGCCTCCTGAGTGCTGGGATTAAAGGCTGCGCCACCATGGCCCAGCTCCATTGTTTTTCAAGACTGCAACACATCATTATGTATGTCAAAAGGCAGAGCAGGTCACAGTGTCAACCTTCCTGGTTTGGCTAATGAATGTGTGTGACGCACTAAGAGTCTGGCTCCTGGAAGGCCTTCCTAAGGAACAGCCCCTGTTAAGACTCTTACATACACAGCTGAGGTCCTTCTCCCTGGTGCTCAGAAGAACAACTTCCACACTCTGGATACCTTCAGATGACAAACCTGTCCTCAGAAGATACTTCAGAAGAAGTAAGATACATATTGAAGTTAACTCCCCTTTGTCTTTAGAGAGTGACTTTGAGAGGATTGGGTTTTTCCGAGATAGAATTTCTCTCTGTAATAGCCCTGGCTGTCCTGGAACTCACTCTGTAGACCATGCTAACCTTGAACCCAGAGACCTGCCTCCCTCTGCCTCCCTAGTCCTGGAAATGAAGGTGTGTGAATGAGTTCTTAACCATCCTTTCAACTTTAGCTAAAACCTGAGTCTACTTCCTAGAACCTGGAGGAACTTACACCTTATTCCCAGATGTGTTTCTGAGACTTCTGTATGCCTGCAGAGGTTGCTGAGGCACAATCCATTACTGAGGACTAGGAACAAGAATAAAGGAACACTGGCAGAGCTCTGCAGACCCCAATACAGAAAAATTGGGTCCCTACCTTCAAAAGAAAACTACATCTGGCTCAGTGTTCTTAGATCAAGAAAATATCACAGGGTGGCACTTTTATCTGTGTTGAACCCTGGTTATTTCTTCTAATATGTGACCACAGTCTCCTTACTTGGAGCAAGGATAATAGCTAACCTTAAGAATTATTGTGGCGATTCAAAACAAGATAATGCTAGGTGTGGTGGCATACAAGTATCAGCCCAGGTCTCAGGAAGCAGAGGCAGGAGGATCAGAAGTTCAAGGACAACATTGGATACATAGCAAATTTGAGGCTACCAAATTGGGTTATATGAGACCCCATTTAAAAAAATAAAAGGAAGGAAAGAAGGAAGATATATTTTATACTTGGCACACAGAAAGCACCCAGGAAATGGTAGCTGATCAATGAAGAACACATTCCTGGGTCAAGGACACCTTTGTGATTGTTAGTCATTATATGGACTGATTGAACAGGTTTAGAGAACTCATTTACAGGAAGCCACTGAAGGTTAGCAGTGGGGCAGCCTCCAGGTCTAAATTATACCCAGTGGTTTAAGATGGCTACTGTGGAGTCACAGAAGCCTGGGAGCAAACCCTAGCTGCCAATTAATCACTTATGACATCAGCTCTACCCGCTTCCTCAGTCTCTCTGAACTCAAAGCTTGGCCATTTACAAGTCTACTTTCAAAACCCCCATGCCATAAGATGCAATTATCTAGCATGCACAGGGTTTCATGTTCCAATTCCAGTAAAGGAAAATAAAAGCTCATTTGTAGTCTTAGGAATCTCCTACAGTGTTTGGAACACAGCTCTCAAGGATAAGGTGGCCTATCAGATGGATACTTTTCTCTACAAAAGCTCATTTGTTAATAAAAGTTTAACCCCAAAGAGAAACTGAAAAAAAATCAGCAGCTCTTTATCCTTGAGATTGCTTCCTTCTCTCCACAGCAGTCTATCCTGTAGATCTGCTGTCTGAGCTAATTTTCCCCCTCTACCAAGTTGTCGTTGCAGAGACTGAAGACTTGGCTTTCTTTACCCTCTGCATCATCAGTTCCTAGAACCCAGACTGGCCATACCTTTGTAGCTCGCTAAAAGGTTCTTGTAGCAATTCCAGCAGGGTTGTCCTTAACTATTTCTGTATCTTTTGTATAACTTCCTGGGCTAGGTGTTCTCCTCTTTACCAGTGTTCCTTATATGTGACATATATCTTACTAGAAGGCAGTGCTAGGACCAAGTTTTGTCTTCCTAAGCTTGTGTTTTTCATGGATAAATTTGCCTTCATTTTCAGAAAGCTCAAAGCACAATTCTTGCTCAGTTACAATTACACGGTTTTCTTGAAGCTGTTTTGGAGTTTTGTTTTGCTTTGTTTTTTTCCGTGATGTGGAGACGGGACATAAATAAATGTAAGAAGACTCTGCTGGTACTTGTTTACGATACTATTTCCAAACACAGACTGTATTTATCATAAGAATATGCTACTCAGACTTGAATGTTTCTGCAAATTACTCTAAATAAAACACTGAATCTGATTCAGGTCAGGATCAGGGTGCAAGATATCGCATTTCTGAGAAAATCCCAGGTGATGCCCAGGTGGCTGGGCCTGGTGCACAAATTGTGTTGCACAAGGTGGAAGAAACTTGTTTCTTTGATTCAGCACAATTTCTGTGTCCATCTCCTCCAAAAAATATGGCCAAAGTCTCTAGAAGTGTAGGGACAAACACCAATAGCATGTAGAGAACTAATTAATATAAGACCCACAAGTTGCCCCCTCCCGCCCCATTTCCACTTTGTCCCCACTCTAAGCCCACCGAGATCTAGCCAGGAAGTCACATCTCCAGATGTTTTTGCTGCAGGTGGCCTCATAGCCAATTTTCAAAATGACTGCTTTTTCCAAGGTTTTCCCAAGATACACTCCTGGGAACAGCTGTTGTCACCAATGGTGGCATCTGCTTGGCCAGCATTTTAACATTCTAGTGTTTTAAAATCAGTAAGAAGGGTCCCATCACTCATCTTCGACTATATAATTCACAGTGCGCTCAGTCCCTGAAGCCTCAGACCCTCACCCCTAGGCCAAGAATGGCCAAATCGCCCAAAGCCCCCACTTCAGGCCGGTCAGATGGGGGCAGGGCCGCTCATGCGCAGAGCGACCCCCAGGCCACAGGGCGGGGTCCCTGGTTGCCCCAACCCCCTTCCACCTTACCTCTCTGGACCAGGGTGGCCAAGGAGAAAACGAAGCAAATGAGGAAAGCAGTACGCCAGGCCACCATGGCTGGGAGCAGGCGCAGGGGCCTGAAGGAGCACGGTTAGCGCAGGAGGGCCCGAGGGGGCGGGGATGGGAGGAGCTGGGGAGGAGGAGCCCGTCACAACCGCAGGGCCCCGCCCAAAGCTGGCACCCGTCGCTGCGGTCAGGAAGGACAGAGGAGAGGCGCGCCTTAATACCCGTGCTGGGGGGGGGGGGGGGGGGGGGACTCCTCAGGGCCCAAGGCAGGAGACTGGGCGACACTGCCGTCTCGGGGACTCCGCCGCAGTCTGGAGGCGGGGCATAGGGCGAGGGCGGGGCTCGCAGACACTCGTTCTGTTGCGCGATCTGGATTGGGTGGCTTGCCTACTCACTGCTGCAGACCCCTTCCCACCCTATCGTCGCTAGGGGAATGTCAGAAGAGGCCTGCAAGCCCCTGTAGGGCGCCACCAGAGGCCAGGGTGTGGGAAGCAGCAGTGGAGACGGTGCTCAGGAAAGGCCACTCCGAGGCCACTACACACCGTGGCACAGAGCTGGGGTGCAGCCAGCCAGCGACCTTGGACCGCACCTTCCTCCTCTAGTGCAGGTCCCCCAGCTGAGAGGTTTCTCCGACGCCTTGGCCTCATTCGCTGCCGCCTGCTGAAAGCTGCAGCAAATTCCCTGCCTCAAACTAAAGAACTGGGCTATTTGGGTAGCTGCTGGGACCAGCAGAGACACCACAGCAGGCAATAAGGAGGGTGGGCTCAGTCCAGAGCCAAAGCACTGAGGAATAGTTGCTGAGACTTGGGTTAGAGACAGGGTTACTACTACAAAAGTTCACAGCCGCTCAATCGATCAGAAAAAAAATACGCCCCATGACTAACAAACGCGCTTCAGTCTTTTCCCATGAATCTCGGCAAATAGAGTCCACCTCCCTGGCGGCGGGAACGCAGATCCCCTCACTAGTGCCACAACCAAAAGCCTACTGCAGCGGGGCCTGCTGCTGCAGAGTAGCAAAAGCTCCCAAGAGGAGCACGGCTACAACCAGCTCTCAGGACAAAGAAATCAAGGCTGTTCACTGTGGCAGCATGGAGCCTGTCCACGCCTCTGTCTTTGGTCACTTCTAATGATGGATCCTACTGCCATTCCCAGTGTTCCTGGTCACAAACAACACATATGCACACACATGAATATCACACATACACACACACACCCCGTCTCTCAGCTCTTTCTCCCTCTCCCTTTCTCTATTTTTATTCTATCCATTGCTCTAAATATGGGACTGGGAAACAAACACACAAAGTGCTAGGAGTAGACCTTCCCATGGGCAAAGCTGGCAGGAACTGGAGCTGAAGAGCAGAGATAACTGATTTCTTCTGAGGGAGTTTTGAGACAGGGTTTCTCTGTGTAACAGTCCTGGCTGTCCTGGAACTCACTCTGTAAACTAGGCTGGCCTCAAACTCACAGACATGCGCCTACCTCTGCCTCCTGAGTGTTGGGATTACATGTGCCACCACCACTCAGAGGTCTTAATTTCTTGTAACAGCCTTATGTGTGACCTCAATAATCAAGGAAGGAAAATGAGTGAATGGGAGCACCTTGACTTTGAGAAAGTAACCAGGGGATCCTGCAGTCAAAGGGGCCAGGAGAATACTGGCAGGCCTCCTGCAGAGTGGCCAAGAGCAGAGGCTTTCAGAACCCAGGAGCAGAGCCTGTGAAACAAAGGAAGTGGTGAGATGGAGTGTGGTGAGGACTGGATGAAACTGAGCTGTCATGTGGTGGCAACAGCAGATAATGAGGCGGGACCGAAAATGTAGGCTTCTCTGCAACACAAGATCATCTAGATGCAGGAGCAAGAACCAAGAGAAAAGAATGCTGTTATAATATAGCACATGACACCAAATAAACAACCTTCTCAATTGAAATGCCTGAATAAGGCTATGAGATAACTCTCCCTTTGTAAGATGATATATCTGGGGCCCAGTGTGTCTCTCAGTCTCTTATAAGTGGAGTTAATGTGAGTCTGAGAGAACTGGTGAATCTTTCCGTTGGCAAGAAGTGCCCACCTAGAACTGGGTGAGGGTGAGAGATTCAGTCCAATCATTGTAACCCTATTGACTTGCAACTGAACATGAAGCTGGTTTACATACAGGAAGTCCAACACTTAGAAGCTATGACCCTTGCTTACCCTGTCCGCTATACACAACATCCTTATTACCAGTGCATCTGAATTCTGGAACCAATGCCTGACCAAGTATTTTGCCAACACACTACTCCTTTCTCCTCACCTGTGCACCTAGATCTTCCCTGAACTTCTCATGTCCCCGATATTGAAAAAAGCATTTAGGCCTTCAAGCTCCACTCTTCAAATGCCAACCTTTTTCACAAGCAAGAAAATGTCCACAAAATGTTCATTATCCACAAGAGCCAGCAGGCCATCCTTGGAGCATAGCAGTTGTCCTGAGTGATCTGAGAACACTACTAGTGACCCCAGTGGCTTCCCAGTGGGAGAAATATGTGAACAGAAAAACCATGATGTCTTGGGGGCCCTGGGGTTCAGCAGCTTGTCAAGACTATGAAGTTCTGTTGCTACCCAAATAAACATCTACAAAACCCCTCTCACAAAATATCCACCCTCAATTCTATATACCAGCCACTTTTTCAAGAAAGCCTCTGTAATGGGAAAAAGTAAAAGCTGTGCAGTTCCAAGGGCCAGTGGACCATGAGGGATGGTGGGTCCCAGGCGGGGAGTTGCAGGCAGTCCTCGGCCCTTGGCAGGTGAGAGACCTCGGCGGTTCAGCCAGTGCCAAGAGGAGCCATGACAGGTGAGACACAGAGACGGATAGGCACGCCATGCACAGAAACTGGCTATTTATTTAGTGGGTTATGGAAGGGAAAGGAAAGGGGAGAAGGGGGAAGAAAAGAAAGAGGCACAGAGAGAGAGGGAGGGGGAAGAGACAGAGGGAGAGAGGGAGAGAGAGAGAGAGAGCAGAAGTTACCTCTTTAGGAGAGAGGAATAGAAAGAAAGGAGCTCAGGCTGGAAGCAGAAGGATGAGCCTCTTGCCTCTGCAGACAGGGAGGGAGTGGGCAGGGCTTGTCTCTTAAAGGGACAGGACAGACCATTATAGCCTCCTTCACCCATTGATATGGGATTCCCCTCTCTATGCTATGAATATGTTTTATTACCATTGGTTAATGAAGAAGCTACTTTGGCCTGTGGCAGGGCAGAATAGAGCTAGGTGGGAAAATGGAACTGAATGCAGGGCGAAAGAAGGCAGAGTCAGGGAGATGCCATGTAGCTGCTGAAAGGAGAAAGACCTCAAAACCTTACCAGTAGGCCACATCCTCATGGTGATACATAGATTAATAGAAATGGATTAATTTAAGTTGTAAGAGCTAGCTAGCAATATGCCTGAGCCATCAACCAAACAGTGTTGTAATATAGTTTCTGTGTGATTATTCACATCTGGGTGGCCGGGAAACTAAAGTGCAGTCTCTATTTACAGCCCGTGGCCAAAAACAGCCCTAATAGGTGGTATCCACCAAGAAGACCCTGACACTGCTGAAGATATCCATCAGGAGAGCACTGCTGCCCACGTTGAAATTGTTCTTTCCTGCTGGTTGTGGTGCTTCATCCTTTCAATTCCAGCACTCAGGAGACTGAGGCAGGAGAATTGCCACAATATCAAAGCCAGCTGGGGCTATACAGAAAACCTTCTAGCAAAGTAAAGCAAGACAAGCAACACACCAACAAAACCCTTTCCTTCCCTGATGTTTCACCTCTGCCACCAGTAACACATAGGAACTGACAGAAAGAAAGCAAAGATGAAGGCCTACCCTTTATCTCTGCAATACAAAGGGACCCAGCCAGTGTTCAAGGCTTTAGTTGCCTCCCTTAGCCTTAGGCCCTAATGCCTGTACGGCTCTTCCTGGACAGACACCCCCCCCCCCACACACACACACACAGCTGCATGAAGAGTGAGCTTAGGAAACAAAGATCTGTCCATCGACCTAACTCCCCACTGAGTTCCCTCCTCCACAACTAACCTCACACTCAATGTTCTGGCCAGTTCTGTGCAGAGAAGGGAAAAGAAGCCCAGAGTACTGACCTTTATTCTGAAATTGTGAACTTTGTTGCTGTACAAAAGTCCTTTATTTCATGGGACATAGTAGTGATTTGTTAAAAGTGCTCGTTGCACAAAATTAAATATTCGAAAGCCTACTACTCTCCAAATTGAAAAAGAAATAGAAAACAAAAACTAACAGGCAAAATTGACATATATTTGAGCCTTTAGTCCACGAGGACCCAGCTACAAGGCAGCTGGCAGAGTGTACCTCATAAGTGAACAGAAACTATGGAAATGGAACCTGCCCCTCTCCCTATGTTTGACTTGCAAGCAAATTATCCTCCAAGTCTCCACAACACTTTTCATCTCTCCTCTTCTCATATGGCAAGGACTGGCCAGGCCTTGAATGCCATGACAATTGCAAAGGTTTTGATCTGAGAACAAAGGGACGCCATTGAAGGGTGGTAAGGAATCTGCAGCATGACATTTCCTATGGTTCATGGAAGATTGACCAGCATCACATAGGAGGAAAAGGTAGGAATTCTCCATGGCCACATAATGGGATTGAAGGAGTTGTCCGAGCCTGGTTACAGGGCAAGGGAAATGAGGAAATTCAAGGACACAGGGAATTGAGCCAGGAGATGGAGGCAATTAGAGCGAAGGGCCTCTGTAGAGAGTGGAACAACCTCACCTAGAGAGGATTGTTCTGTAGAATTGATTAAAGGCAAAGTGAGAGTACACCCAGCCAAGAAGAAATAGTTCCCAGAGAAAGGCTGAGAATGAAGTAAGGACCAGAGATGAAAAGGAACACAAGGAACAGGAGTTGCCAGAATTACCTCATACAAGGCTTGGGAACCAGGTGACGTTGGCACTCTCCTAAAGCACAGAAAGCCTGAAAATGGTTTAGAATGTATGAGATACTACTGCAAAGGGGGCAAGATCAGATTACTGGTGTTTTATAAATCAGTTTCTACAAGGAACCTCAGAACCCTACTGTATAGAAGCTAGAATTTGCCTTAGAAACCCCTGTTATACTAGTGTGAGAGAGGCCCCTGTTGGATCCTAGCAAACGAAAAGGGGGGTAGGGAAAAGGAAGGAGGAAAGAGGGAGTTAAGGGAAGGAAGGGAGAGGACAGAGGGAAAGAGGGAA